CGGGTCCGGGCTGGGGATTCGAACCCACCACCTTAGGTGTACGTGGCTGGTGCCTTAGCCAGTTGAGCTATAGGCGCCGAGCCACCAAGGACAGTTTTGAACAAAATATTTTATTCAATGGCTCGATAGGTCAAAAGCAATTGAAAGGATTAAAGAAGGCAAATTTGACTCTATAGGTCAAAAGCAATTGAAAGGATGCAAATTATTCACCTCAGATATAAAATAGGTAGTGTTAAAATATTTAAGAAGCCCATTAAAAAATTAGCCAATAATTTAAGAAATCCTCTATCCATAGTGGGGACTCCCTGTCCCCACTCTCTGTCAAGCAAGGGTAGACCCTCAAATCCCTGTACTACATTTTCTTTTTTTTAAAAAATTTCAGATTGATAGGAGGGTACAAATGTTTAGCTTACATTGTTTTTATTTCTAAGATAAAGTTCAAGTTGTATTTGAGCCCTTCACCCAAAGCGTGCTGAACACCCTCACATTGTGCACATTAGGTGAGATCCCTCCAATTGCCCTCCCTCCTATCTCCTTCCTTCCCTCTCCCTCTCCCTAGACTATACTTGTGTTTTTTCTTTCCTATGGGCATACAGTTGTTTGTATATTGGTTTCATATTAGAATGGAGTACATTGGATACTCTTTTCCATTCTTGTGATACTTCACTAAGAAGAATGTGTTTCACCTTCATCCAGGTAAATTCAAAAGATGTAAAGTCTCTGTCTTTTCTTACGGCTAAATGGTACCCCATGGTATATATATACCACAATTTGTTAATCCATTCATGGATTCAGGGGCACTTAGGTTGCTTCCACAACCTGGCAACTGTGAATTGAGCTGCAATAAACATTCTAGTGCGAATGTCCTTATGGCAAAATGATTTTTTTTTTCTTCTGGGTAGATACCTAGTAATGGAATTGTAGGATCAAAGGGAAGGTCCACTTTTAGTTCTTTGATAATTCTCCATACTTCTTTCCAAGGAGATTGTATTAGTTTTCAATCCCAGCAGCAGTGGAAAAGTGTTCCCTTCTCTTCACATTTGCGCCAGCATCTACAGATTTGGGATTTTATGATGTGGGCTCATCTCATGGGTGTTAGGTAATATCTCAGAGTGGTTTTGATTTGCATTTCTCTGATGATTAGAAATGATGAGCATTGTTTCATGTGTTTGTTGGCCATTTGTCTGTCGTCTACAGAGAAGTTTCTGGTCAAGTCTCTTGCCCACTTATAAATGGCGTTGTTTGCTTTTTTCCCTGTTAAGTTGAGTTCTCAATTCTAATTATCAGTCCTTTGTCAGACTAGTAGCATACAAAAATCTTCTCCCATTCTGAAGTCTGTCTGTTTGCTTTAGCCGTGGTACCCTTAGCTGTGCAAAAGCTTTTTTGCTTGATCATGTCCCATTTATTTATTTTTTCCCAGGCGAATATGTCAAGGGTTTCCCCCATACTTTCTTCTATAATTTTTATTGTTTCATGTCTTAAATTTAAATCTTTTATCCAAAGAGAGTCAATTTTTGTTAGTGGTGAGAGGTGCCAGTCCAATTTTAAGCATCTATATGTGGCTAACCAATTCTCCCAGAACCATTTATTAAATAGGGATTCTTTTCCCCAGTGCACCCTTTGGTTTGGTTTATCAAAGAACAGACGAGAACATGTGACTGAGTTCATCTCTAGGTTCACTATTCTATTCCATAAATCTATATCTCTGTTTTGTCCTGTGCTACATTTTCACTTTTAGGACTTTACCTTAAGACTTAATAAGTCCAATATTCAAATAGTGACTAATTATCATATAAATTGTATTTAATTGTGACCAAAGTACATTACTCAAACATTAATTTTTAATTCAACATGTTGTATGTTGTTTATCATATTGCATCCTCATTTATAAGTGAAATATGTTTGTAATTTCCCCTTTATAATAATATATTTTCTCCAATTCTAAAATCAGGTGTATCCAGATTAAGTAGAATGATTTTGAAGTATTTCTTTTCCTATTGTCTATAAGATTTGGCATGATCTGTTTTTTTAAATTATCTTTTACTTTTATTTATAAATATTAGTTGTCTGTTTTTTTTAGACTTTGGAAAAAACAAAATAATAAGAAGAAGTTAACTGATCAAAGTATTCTATAATAGACATACTTCTATCTGACAATGTGAATGTTACTTTCTTTGCATTATTACTATTGTTATTGCTTAATACTTTGTTGCAGCAAATGTCTGATTTCTTTTCTGAATGTGTTTATTTTCATTCGTTCTTTATGAGGTTTTTGTTCTCAGTCCTTATGTTAAACATTGTTATTGTCATTAAATTTAGCCTTTTTAATTTTGTGAAGGCAAAAGTGGAAACCTAATATACACATGTGTAAGAAAAATAAATAAATAAAAGAAGTCCAATACTCATTAATAGTCTGAGATCTACTATTAATAAAGCTTAATTGTGGAGTTGCTATTTTCTCTCTATTTATTTATTTATTCATTTATTTATAAGACAGGGTCTTGCTATATTATCCAGGCTGGTCTTGAACTCCTGTCCTCAAGTGATCCTCCTGCTTCAGCCTTCTGAGGAGCTGAGATTATAGGTGTGAACCACTGTACCTGGCCTATTTTCTTCTTGAAAATATCTGTGATTACCATACTAGAGGAAAAGATGGGCTAAATAGTTGAAAAGATAGTTGATTTCAACAGAGAACTAGAATCTTTCTAAATCGTTAAATAGATATCCTAAAGTTGTAGAATACAATCTTTGACTCATTGAATAATTTTAACAGCAGATTGGACAGAGCAGAAGATAGGATAAAGAAACTCAAAAACATGGCAATGGAAAATATTCAAAATGAAGCATAGAAATAAAAGGAAATTTTACAAACAGAGATGCATATAAGATACCCATAGGCTACCATGAAAAAAAAATTCTAACTTTTAAGATTCTAGAAGAGAAAAGAAAGAAGAAGAATAGGACAGAAGTGGTATTTGAGAAGATAATGGCCAAGAAATTTTCAAAGCTGGTGAAAACATCAACCTGTCGGTTTCAGAAACTCAGTAAACCTCCTAAATGGTATAAATACAACAAAACCCACAACTATTCAGAACGCCAAATCAAATCACTAAAAACCAAAGATAGAAAGAAAAATAGATGGATCATATTATTCCTCTATTCAAAACCTCCAGTGGTTTCCCACTTTACTCAGGGAAAAAGAAAAGTCCTCAAGTTAAGAAAAGATCCTATGCAATCTGATAGCCCCCTGCCTGTAACCTGTCTGGCCTCACCTCCTATCACAGATTCCCCTGCTCATTCTGCTCCAGTCACACTATCTTCCTTGCTGTTCCTGCCAGGCACACTCCCATCACAGCCCATTGCTATTCATCTTGTCTGGTGTTCTCTACCTCCAGGTACCCACATAGCCAGTTTCTCAACGTCTTCAAGCTTTCACTCAAATCTTTCAGTGAGGCTTTCCGGGACCATCCTATTCAAAACTGCTTTGCCTTCTCCCAGGACCTTCTATACCCTCTTCTGTACTTAATTTTTCTCGTTAATGACACACTATTTATTATTATCTTCTAACACCAGACATAAATGTGGGAGGGTTATCTGTCCTGTTGAGTGTTATCTGTTCCACTGTCCTGGAACAGTGCCTAGCACATAAAGGCGCTCCAATATTTGTAGAATAAATGCAAGTTAGGTAAGTTTTAGCTGCTTATCACTTGATACTTCTTTGAAACTAAAGATATAAAGCTCCTGATCCATTATCATGAGGGTAAAGATTTTAACTTATTTTCCAGTAATAGTAATCAGGCTTTGTTAGTCTGCATTATTCTGCTAAAAGGTACTTTAGAAATCTAGTCTTTATACATGTACCAAATCAACCTAATTTTCCATCAAGAAATCACTGAGACACTATCAAGGAATTCACTAGATTTATAATCAAACCATCTCACATATTATAGAATTCATTTTAAGAAAAGAAGAAGATTGGAAAATGTGAAAGCATTGTGTACTTACTCATCTGACATAATTTTTTTGCCAGGTGGTAGTCTCCGCCCATCTCTGCTCTCAGGAACTGGAAAACAATAAATTCTTCAGATAGTCTCAGAAATCACATGCCAATTATAAACTCCCTAGAAAATCTTCCATTAATGATTATTTTGCTTTTAACATTTATATGTTTTGAATTTATAATCAATCAATTAATCAAAGATCTTTAGTGATTTCTCATAGCAAAGATAAGGATAAAAATAGCTCTGCTAGGCTGGGCTTGGTGGCTCAGGCCACCAAGTAATCCTAGCACTCTGGGAGGCCGAGACGGGTGGATTGCTTGAGCTCATGAGTTCGAGACCAGCCTGAGCAAAAGAGAGACCCTGTCTCTACTAAAAAATAGAAAATTTGAGGCAAGAGGATCACTTGAGCCCAAGAGTTGGAGGTTGCTGTGAGCCATAATGATGCTATGGCACTCTATCCAGGGCGACAGCTTGAGACTCTGTCTCAAAAAAAAAAAAAAGAAAAGAAAATAGTTTCCCCCACATGAACAGGGGAAACTTCTGTACATGAATGGTATACAGTGTTTTTTCCTGAACAACTTGAGAATACATGTGTTGATTCAACTGGCATAGACAGTGAAGATATGAATCGCTTTATTATATATTATAATACTCCTTTGGTTTAGATAAAAGTTTCATTTATAAACTAAGTACATAACTACATGACAGTACTTAGTTGAAAAAAATGTAGACTCAGTTTTTTCCAGTACTGCTCTTATGTATCAACCAGTTTTGCTTTACTATTTTTATTATTTTTTTGTTAAAAATAACATATTTTTTATGTTATTCTTTATGTAGGAAATTAAAAAGCTAAATAAATACATTCTGTTTCCAATTAAAAAGCACTTACCTTTCTATCATCTAGAGATGTTTATTTTTAATATCTTTTTTTTTTTTTTTTTAGAGACAGCCTCAAGCTGTCCCCCTGGGTGGAGTGCCCTGACATCACAGCTCACAGCAACCTCCAACTCCTGGGCTCAAGCGAGTCTCCTGCCTCAGCCTCCCAAGTAGCTGGGACCACAGGCGCCCACCACAATGCCTGGCTATTTTTTGGTTGCAGCCATCATTGTTGTTTGGCAGGCCTGGGCTGGATTCGAACCTGCCACCTTAGGTGTATGTGGCTGGTGTCTTAGCCACTTGAGCCACAGGTGCAGAGCCTATTTTTAATATCTTCATGTATATCCTTTCAGTATTTTTCCATAAAAACATATATTTATAAAAATTAGAATTATTTAATAACTTTAAAAAGCCCACAGATTGGTATTATTTCCCTCCCCACGGCATTTAAACTAATCTATTATTCGCTACTTAGGTAGCAGTCATAAAAACTAAAACCCGACATTTTGATAATAGTCTTCCTTGTGTGTGACATATTCTGAACCACATGCAGGCACATAAGTTACTGTGAGAGATGGGGACATTGAGTAATATAAAAGAGATATTTCTTACATGTTTCCAGATAAATAGCCAGGTACCATAAGAAGTAGTTCTCCACCAGTTTTCTCATTTCTCCCAGGTTTTTTTTTTCCCCCTACTATAAATGGATCTCTTCTAGAGATTTTTCTATAAATCATTAATTTCATCAAAATCCTCATTTATTCACATAGCTTTTTTGTTTTTTTAATTTTGAGGCAGTCTCACTTTGTTGCCCTAAGTAGTGTGCTGTGGCATCATAGCTCACAGCAACCTCAAACTCCTGGGGTCAAGTGATCCTCTTGCCTCAGCCTCCTGAGTAGCTGGGACTATAGGTGCCTGCCAAAAGGCCCAGCTATGTTTAGAGATGGCATCTTGCTCTTGCTCATGCCTGTAATCCTATCATCCTAGCAATCTGGGGAGGCAAAGGCTAGGGATGGCTTGAGCTTAGGAGTTCAAGACAAGCTTGAGCAAGAGCAGGACCCCATCTCTACAAAAAAATTAAAAATAAAAAAATGAAAGAAAAGAAAAATTAGCTGGGCATTGTGGCATGTGCTGAAGTCCAACATACTTGAGAAGCTAAGGCAGGAGGATCACTTGAAACCAAGAGTTTGAGGTTGCTGTGAGTTTGAGGCTAGGCTGATGCTTGGGCACTCTAGCTTGGGTAACAAGAATGAGATTCCATCAAAAAAGAAAAAAAAAAGATAAATTGGGAAATTTGAATTTGGGCATAATGTTATATATTACAAAATAACTGTTAATTTTCTTAGATGTGATAAGGATATAGTGTTACATTAAAGAATGAACTTAGGAGACCCAGGCTCAAGTATTTAGGGATGAAGTTTTATGAGGTCTGCAACTTAATCACTTTTAAATGTTTTAGTCACACATTTACATCAAGGCTGTATCTATGGCTCATCCATAAAAGGAGAGAGAGATAAAGCAAATGTAGCACAACGTTAACAAGGAGTGAATCTGGGTAAAGAGCCCACAGAGTTCATTGTTTAATCTTTCAAATTCTGTATTGGTTTGGAAAATTTCAAAATAACAACTTGGGAAGGAGGAATGCAGTGTGAAAACAAAAGATCTTATGCACAGGTACAGTATGAGACACGCAATCTTACGTGGTCCAAATTTTTACATGAAAATTGATTAATAGATTGCTTTTATAATTAAATGTTAAAAGAGAAAAGAAAGAAAATGAGCAAGTCCAGAGAGTTTGGTTATGGTAGATAAGGTCTTTGAATGCTCTATTATACACGAATGATTTCGGTGTCTGGTCAAGAGGAAGAGTGGTTAAGTGAAACCTTTCCAACACTGGGCATCAATTTTTGTTCTCTTAAAAGCACTCTATAATATTGAGGAAGTTTCAAAATTTCCTCTACATACTACTTTACTCTATGAAGCAAACAGAGTAAATAGGACTGATTTCCTTGTGTGATTCCATGACTAGCATTTGGATTAAATTACCTAAGAAGGAAAGTACATGAGCATTTTTCTTTCTGCTGAAAGTCTAATTGAGGCTTTTAGCCATAATGGAGTAATAGAGACCAGACTTACTCTCTTCTTTAAACAACCATAAAACTGGACAAATATATGAAACAATAGTTTTTGGATACCAGACCACAGATGTCATAGAACAGTGATATGTCTCTGAAAACAAAGTGGATCCTATAATTGCCTTAGCTTACTGCTTGAAGGCTGTTTCTAGATACCAGCTTGGGGAAGAGAAAAACAAGACAGAGACCAGTGATTTCTCTGAGTTGATATAGTTTGGACTGCAAAGAGGTCAAGTTGGCTATAGTCTTTAGTAGAGGAGATAGCTTCACAAAGATGAAGAGCTTTAGCAATCTGCAGAGGTATCTCTTTGAGCCTTTGGTTGGTACTGAGCTGCATATGAGTATGAAAAAACTGAGGCTGGAGAAAGAGTCACTAGAATGAGCAAGTGGAATAATCACCGGACTTTACACTGGCTTGAGAAGAGCTCGTGTTTCTACCAACCAGCATGGAAGACCCTCCAAACATGCAGGGCACTGGAAGAATTGTTACAAAGGTATTGCCTCAGGAGGGTCCCTGTACTATAAAGGCTGCCCTGGCCCCTCCCCTAACAAAGCCTCAAAGTAAGGATCAAAAAGAGAAACCTGCTTCCAAGTAATGTAACTGTGTCCTAGTGGGAAATCTAATGATGGTTAAAGAAAAACAACAAAAGTTTGTACCCCAGAACATAAAATTTATAATGCCCAGTATCCAGTAAAAATTTACCAGGTGCCAAGTGTGGCAGCATGTGCCTGTAGTCCCTACTTGGGAAGCTGAGCTGGGATAATCACATGAGCCCAGGAGCTTGAGGCTGCAGTGAGCTATGATCACAGCACTACACTTCTGCCTGGGCAGCACAATGAGACTCTGTCTCTAAAAGAAATAAATACCAGGCATGCAAAGAAGCAGGAAGATAACACACACAAACAGGAGTAAACTTAGTATCAATAGAAACTGAGCCAGAATAGCAGGCAAGCACGCTAGAACAGCTATTATAAATATGTGTGATAGCAGAAGTAAGCGTGAGGATGAGAGAAAGGATAGATACAAAAAAACTAAACAGAACTTCTATTTATTTATTTTTGGAGACAGGGTCTCACTCTGTTGCCTAGAATAGAGTACAGGTAAGATCAGACTAACTTAATGCAACCTCTTGCCTCCCAAATAGCTGGGACTATAGGCACATGTCACTGCACCTGGCTGATTTTTCTACTTTTTGTAGAGATTGCATCCTGAGCTTGCTGAGGCTGGTCCTGAACTTCTGACCTCAAGTGATCCTACTGCCTTGGCCTCCCAGAGTGCTAGGATTACAAATGTGAGCCACTGTGCCTGGCCTTAAACAGAATTTCTAGAGATGATAAATATAGCATCTGAAATGCAAAAAACATAACACAAGGTGAGATTAACAGCATATTATAATATCAAGGAAAAGAGCATCAACTTGAATACATACAAATTGAAATGATTTAAAATGAAATACAGAGAGAAAATAAACTTAAAAAAATAATTAAATGAAACGTCAGTGATCTGTAGGATAACACTAGGTGGTCTAACATCTATATAATTGTAGTTCAGATGAAGAGAGGGGAAGAACAGATATCAGGAAAAAAACAAAACAAAAAAACAAAGCCTTAATAATTGAATAATTTCCAAACCTGATGAAGATTATAAACTCACAGATCTATGAATCTCAATGAACAGAAGAAACGTGAGAAAAAGAATACCTAGGCACATCATACACATATCATACACCAAGGAAGAAGTTTTTAAAATACATATTATACAGAGTTAAATGGTGAAGAGAATAATAGCAGATACTTGTCTAAAACTATGCAAGCTACAAGACAATGGATCATCCTTTCAAAACACAGGAAAAACTTGGCAAACTAGATTTAAGGTGAGGGTGGACATGGTGGCTCATGCCTGTAATCCTAGCACTTTGGAAGGTTGAAGCAGAAGGACTGCTTGAAGTCAGGAGTCTGAGACCATCCTGAGCAACTGTCTCTATGAAAAAAACTTTAAAAATTAGCTAGCCACCATTAGCATTTGGTGGCATGCACCTATACAGCTATTCGGGAGGCTGAGGCAGGAGGATCACTTGAGCCCAGGTGTGAGGTTGCAGTGAGCTCTCAGCCTGCCACTGCTCTCCAGTCTGGGTAACAGAGTGAGATTCTGTCAAAAAAAGAAAAAAAAAAGAAAGAGATAAGGAAGAAGAAAAAGAAGAAGAAGAAGAAATGAAGACTTTTTAGACAAAAGCTGAATGAATTCATTGCCAGCAGAATTTCATTATAAGAAATACTAAAGGAAGGTTTTCAGGTAAAGGGAAAATGATATCAGGTAGAAATCTGGATCTACACAGAGCTATGAAGAACATCAGACATTGCTTACACACAGGTAAGTAAAAAGGACTTTCTTTTTTTTTGAGACAGAGTCTTATTGTGTTGCCCTCAGTAGAGTGCCGCAGCAACACAGCTCACAGCAACCTCAATCTCCTGGGCTTAGGTGATTCTCTTGCCTCAGCCTCCCAAGTAGCTGGGACTATAGGCACCCACCACAACATCTGGCTATTTTTTTGTTGAAGTTGTTTAGCTGGCCTGGGCTGAGTTTGAACCCACCACCCTCAGTGTATGTAGCTAGTGCCGTAACCACTGGGCTACAGGTGCCAAGCTGTAAAAAGGACATTTTAAAAGAGATTTTAAAATCTCTTTAAGAGATAATTGACTAAAACAAAAATAAGAATAATATATTTTGGGACTTATATGTAGAAGTATCAATAATACAAAGAATGGGAAGGAGAAATGAAAGTTTTATGATGAAGTATTTACAATACACACAAGGTTGTATAATAATGTTAAAGGTAGACTGTAGTGTCATGACAGGCGAGGTAAAATTGTTTTGTTCTCCATAGAATTACCAGTAAGCGTTTGTGTTGAGTGTGATGTTTCAGGCATCACTGCCTTTGCTTGTGCTGTTTCCTCTGCCAGAAATGCCTTCTCCGCTTGTTTACCCGATGAATTCCTACGCTGCCCTTTTCCTTTGAGTTTCTCAGATTCCATTCATGTCTCTTCCTCTACAAAAGCTTCTCTTATCTCTTGTTCCTCTTGCTTCTTTTCTCAATTAGTCACTTAACCCTCCCTGTTCCCAGAGAACTGCAGAAATACTTCTACTAGCATGGGTTGTATTTCTTGAAATTTGTTATGTGTGTCTCTATTCTCGAGGGCAAGGACATGTCTCTTATTTCTCTCTATATCCTCAACAACCAGCATGGTGCCCACTAAGTAGAAAATAGTTCTTAAAGCAGTCCTTACAGAGTTTTATATTGAAACTTTTCTTACTTCTGCCTCTGCCTTACTAGAATCATACAGTCTAGGATCTTTCTGCCTTACTAGAATATGATACATACGGTCTAGGACCTTTCTGCCTTACTAGAATATGATACATACGGTCTAGGACCTTTCTGCCTTACTA